AGTTGGTCTTACCAAGGTAAGCCACCTAATGTCACCTGTAATGTCACCCCATGCGTCTCAGTTCCACCACAGGCCAGCAGCTCCAGGTGGCAGGCATTGCTATAGTTTTCTAGCACTAAAATTCAGATAATCCAAGGTGCTTAAAGTAAAGGTGTTGCTTGCAAACTCCAATTAAGCTTTACACTTACTCTGCTGTGTGCTTGTAAAACCAGCATTACTTCAGAAAGGTTTCACTGCATGAGCACCAGGGTATTTCGATTTTTTACTATCTCAGCAAAACAGTGGGGAAGTATGATCAGTGCTTGACAGCTTGGGTAATTCAAATGCAAATGTATAAACCTTTTCACTCATGGGAGAAACAGTCAATTAAATAAAGATGTTTCCCATAACAAGGGCAATTAAATGAGCTGCTTTTCCTCTTACTGTGTAAAGATTTTCCTTAATTTCCTGTCACTTGCTGAGCCAGCCTTGGCTTTTCTGCCTGGGCTAGTGGCCCAGGTGTGACTGCTCTCACAGGCTCCTCTATACCCCTTCCCCTCGCACCGAGGAGGAGGAGGAGGGCAGGCAGGTGGGCAAACCTAAACTCCCTCTTTGTGGGGATGAGCTGAGCAGCAGCTGAAGAAATCTGCTGCCTCCACAGAGCAGAGCAGCAGGGCAGACAGATGTCCTTCCCCTGCCAACCTCATTTACAGTCCTTCTAAAACACACAAACACACATACACACGCATGGGCTGCCTGTTTCCTCGCTGTTGTATACTCAGCCCTGGCGCCTTATCACTCATGGAGGGTGGCTGTAAGCACAGCGCAGGCCTTAACCCTCTCGGGGCTGCTCTGCAAATTTGCCAAGCTCGCAGGAAAACAGGTCTCACCAACAGCTCCCACTGCTCCTGCAAGTGCAGCTAGACCGATGCTAGCTCCCTGCAGCCAGGGGAGTAGTCCTACAGAAAATAAATTTCTAATATTATTAACTCTTCTTTGCCCTTTCTCCCAGACACTCTTGAATAATTTAACCTTAGTCTGATGGGGTCTCATGATTGTACACAGAGACAGCCTAAGCACCAGGGGACCCTTTGGCTATGCCTTACCTAACCAAACCTGTGCAGGCATGCACACGTGCGTGCATATGCACACAGAGCAACTTGCCAACTGGGAGGCTCCCGCTGCAGGAAAAGCTGAAGCACTTTGTCTCTCTGTTTCTACTTGATAAAAGTTTGCATGTGAGCAGTCAGTCCTCTGGACACCCACCAGGTCTCGGCAGGCCAAACCACCAGGCAGCATTAGGTGCTCTGTGGTGGAGGTTGGCACTTAGCCGAGCATTTGCAGTCACCAGCAGATGACAGATTTGATATTATTAACCCTACCCAACACATGGGAAAGTGGAAATGGAAAGCATAAAAGTGTACCTCAGGAAGCTACTCCCTTGCACCCATGATGTGGGCTGTGCAAAAATCTATTATAACCGAGCCCCTCGTTTTCAGGAGATGATCCAAAGTCACCAAGACGATTTGTACAGTTGTTGTAACATAGTAGCATACGTGTCTCACTTCTCTCTCACGTACTGTATCTGCCCATCACACCTTCCCACTGCCTTTCATCTTGTATTTTGATGGTCATCTCTTTGGAAATAACCCTGTTGTATCATATTCCAATGCTTTTCTTTACACAGCAGATCTCTGATCCCAGAGATGCCAGGTCTCTCTAAGCATCACCCACCACAACACCTTCAGTAATGCTGGGAAAGTTGTTCCCACTTGCTTTTGTTAATGGAAGAAGACTGGAACTGAAGTTTTTTTATTATTATTTTTTGTAGATGATGAATTATAGACAAAAGGTCTGCAGTGCACTGATAAGTTTCCCTTTCCTTGGAGACAGTGGCATGTGATGCTATTCACAGCAGATGGCTTATGTTTTTCTCTCCCATGGTCCATGGGTTTGATTCATGAGAACAGGGACATTGACATGCCTCATGTGAGCGTGTCAGGTAGGGTTCATGTCACTGAACATTAGCCATCTCAAATATGGGCATCTAATCCAGCAATGCTTCCTCTATAAGCAAGGAGGGAGATAGGCATCCTGATACGGTGATTTATCCTGTCTCCTCTGGAGGTGTCTCTTTCCATGGACTAGGGAAAACCTAGCTGACTATCCTGGAGTGGCTCCTCACCTCAGACAGCAAAAACCAAGTGAGATGAGCCATGCCTGAGCAGTCTTACCTGCTGGTCTCCCTACTCCTTGTGTTACCCTGGTCTCACCACCATGCCCCTGTCTTCTGCAGGTGTTTCCTTGCAGGGCTGAGCTGCTGCTCATCTTTCATGCAACACCACATCTGTCCTCGGAAATGGTTGTCTGTGAAACCACCCCAGTATTTAAGATTCATAGATCTAATAAAGGCAAAAGTTTTGTTATTTTCTCCTGCAGTGGACAACAGATGCATTAGAATAGGATATAATGATCCCTTGGAAATGGGAACATAGTCTTCTCCCACATGCATGCCTGTCTCCCTTATAGCCAAGTGGCATTGGAAAGTGTGGTAAAGTTTGATTACCAGTGTGGCATGATGGTTAACAGGATCCAGATAAAGCCGAAGTTGAGAATTTAAAGTCACCAAAACCTAAGCTTGCCACTGGTGCTGTTTTCTGTTCTGTTTGCTCACTTCAGGCAAAAAATGCTATTGATGTGCTGCTCAGTAAAAGCATTTGCAATGTTTACTTTATGTGGCACGTGATCAGATAGTAACAAATCTATCTAACATAATCTTCTTTATGACGCATTTTTCTTTTCCTGACACTCCTTAAACCAGCTTACATTAAAGCTTTGAAAAGATGAGTTTCCTGGAGAAATACCTACTATTTTCCTAACATTCTCTTCAGACCAGGCAGGGGGGGTCTAGCCACCACATGAAACTCAGGAGTGAAAGTGTAGGTGGTCCTTTACTAAAGGACTTGTGCACTTTTCCTATTTTCCCAACTCTTTCAGAGCAAATTGCTTGAAGACCTTTGTCTACACACAGGCCTATTTGTCATCTGCTATTGGGGCAGACAGTGCTATTTTTATGTGTACACCAACATGGAGGAGTTAATAAACATATTGACTGTTCTGTCTCTGAAACACTATAGAGTCACCTGGTTTCCTTGAGACCATACACTATATATTAAAATACGTGTACAAACCACCTTGAAAACTGAACAAAAATAGTCTGGTGTTTTAAAGTGGGAGGTTAGGAGGAGAGACACAGAGTGGCATGAAAGGGACCACCTAAAGCAGACCTAGTTTCACTTCTTTGTCACCAAGAAATACAATCCCCAGGTCTTTTTTGAGCAAAACAAAACTGAAATACTTTTCTGGTTGGAAATCTTAGTACTTCTGTGAGATTTTATAACTTTAGCATGATTACAGTGTATTCCTTAATCACTTTCTGAAGCATCCAAATTAGAAACAAAATATCCTGGCTTCACTGATGTACACAGGAGTTTCTGTAAAAGCCGACAGTCTGATAAATACTTAAAACCTTTCCAGAAAAGTAGGCTTCATCCTTCCAAATAACATTCAAATTAAAATGTCTTTTGAATTTGAATCTGAATGCTCTGAGATAGTTTTCCAAAGCCTCACAGAAATCTAAAATAGAGCTGGCTTATTAGAAGCGTATAATCTGTTAAAGTCAAACTTGTTTTCACATATTCTAAAATAGCGTAGCTATTACATGTTATTTTTACCAAACATTATTGGAAGACAAAGTTTCCAAACCAACAGCACAGATCAGTTTTGATTGGATAAGGAGCAGACGGTTTAATCAAGGGAAATATACTGGCTATAGCGAACTGAGATGCCTGGCTTCAGGCATCTTTATTTGAATATTTGGAACATATTTCATGAAATACTGCCTCACATGTAATTAGCCTTAAGGAAGCAAGCCACTAGAAGGAATTGATTCTAACTGCACTTTAAATTGCTGCTCCAGTGCCTTCACACTTCATGAAATATGGATCAATTATCTTTTGGGCAAATATGAACATGCTATCTTTTAACAGAGCTTCCTTCATTAATGGTATTCTCTCTCTGGTCTTTAGCTTGATCTGCTCTTTTTTTTTTTTTTTTTTTCTTTTAATTAAGCTAGACTGTCAGCTAAACTGCACAAACATTTAGTTTAGCCTAGAAAAAGTATCCTGCATTCAGTCTGCCTCCTTATCCTCAAACTGTGTGCTCATAACCACCAGAAATTAACCAAAGTTGTTCTTTTTCCCTCATTAGGTTAAAAATATACTTGTTACCTGAAAATATGCATTCATAATCGTGCATTTTATGGAGTCGTAAATATGCAGACTTCTTTCCAAGGCCACAGCAGGCAGCTTACCTGTCAGCCGAGAGAGCAGTGAGAGTAAAGACTGACACCCCTACAGAAGTGAGCTGTATGAAGGGGATAAGTTTGCATCCAGTCCTGCCGAAGAGCCACTCATCAGCAAGGTACCTGCTGGCATCCACGGGCACGCAAGTCACTAAAAGCAGCAGATCTCCCAGAGCCAAACTGGAGATGAACAAATTAGGGACATTTCTCATGGATTTCACGGTACAGAAGATCTTAATCAAAGTGATATTGCCAATAAGGCCTATCAAAATTATGATCCCATAGATGGTGGGGATGGCGTAGAGGAACGCTGGGTAGAACCAGTCGTCACCGAGGAGGGAGAGGTTTGCACTCTGGTTGACAGAGATGTTGTAGAGAATGAAGTTATCTGTTTCTAGGTCTAGCAGAAGGCATTCTCCAGATGCCATTGTCCCACTTTGCTCTTCTCAGAAGACAACTTTCGTCTTTGAAAATCCTTGAATAAAATGTACTGCTTTAATTTTGCTGCTGCTTGCTGGCTTTATTCAGTCAGAAGAGCTTAAAAGTCATATCACTTTGTGAAAGTCATATCACTTTGTCACACATCTTGAAAATAAACAAACCAAAAAGCAACTGCAGCTTGCTTAACAGTACTGTTTCCATAAGGTGAAAGGAGAACATCTTTTAGCAGAGTTTGAATCCTGAAACTTGCCTTTTCCTTATTGACTTGTCTCGCTGTTAGGTACTCCTCAGCTCTGGAAGGCTATTTATCAAAATCAAAGACCAGTAAGTGGGAGGCATTTTCAAAATCGTGGCTTGTTAAATTCCCAGCTTCAGGTCTGCTGAGCAGAACCGAGTCCAAAACAAGGGAATTACAAAAAGCAAGAACTTTTGGTACTTGCTGTCACACTGCATTGCCAATCTCTCCCGGCTTTCAGTACCTGCACTCGCCAGCGGGATTTAAAGTCAGGAAAAAGCAGGGCTCCGCTGACGGCTCGGATCCTATAGGCAGGATCTTCTGGACGTCAATTCTTCCCCTGCTTCCCATGATGAGAGCAGGCTTGCTTAAACGACTGCGGTAATTCCGGCGGAGCCGCCGGCGAGCGCCGGAGAATGCCAGCCACCTACTGGACAATCTAATCACTGCCTGGGTGGAAGGGGGGAAAAAACCACCAAAACCACCGTTAACTCTTTAGATGAAAAAAAATTTAAAAATAATAATAAAAAAGTCTGTTCATTTATAGGTCGTGAGATAAAGTTCACCTTCTTGTCAAAAGAAAAAAAAAAAAGACAAGAAAAAAATTAATTTATTTCGTATTGCAAATAATGTCATCAGAAAAGCAATTGCACCTTCTTAAATAAGAGCACACATACTTTGTTTGCACTTCGATATTCAATTGTTCCAATGAAAGAGAATAATGATATGGAGCCAAATTCATCCCCCAGGGCATATAAACTGAATAAAGCCAATTAAGATAAAAAGCAACATTACAGTTAAGGTAGGCAAATGAATATTAGTACTGTGCACCTGTGGTTAACCAGGAAAGCCTGAACTCTGCACATTTTTTGTTAATGTTTTAATTTGGAGGTAACGATAACGAGGGACAAAGTTTACCGTTCAATGCAGTCATTTCTATTTATGAGGTACTCATCGTACTGGCATCTATAGGTAATGCATACTTAGACGTGGCAGAGAGAAACTTGCTTGGCTTATAACAGTCTGAAAATGCTCTTTCTTAGAGCTTAACTAAGATGCAACTATTACTGATGCCTTACTGCTTTATAACAGATAGGCTATTCGTGATTATATACAAGGACTTTCTGGACTGCAGAGAAATGCAGTTAATTTGGAAACCAGCCTGTAGAATTAAATGAAGCTGCAATTTACATTTCCCCTTGAAACTGCTGATTTTTTGCAGGCAAAAGAATGTTTTACCAACTGCTAGAATTATGTGGAAGTAAAGGGGGAGGTGATTCAAATCAGACACTAAACTATGATCACTGGTTTCTAGATAAAGAAAGCATTTCAGGACACAATCTGGAAAATCTCCAGGTGCTTGGGAGTCGTGTCCCAGGGTGGGATTCTGAGCGGAAGACTTCAGTAGCTGTTTTTCTGCCTCATTCTTGTGACTCGGGTCAGTGTTTTCAGCTGCTTTGCTGCTGTTCACTCTAAGTCAACAAAGGACTTATGTGTACCCTTAACTTTAAGTAGGGCTCCTTACATTTTTTTTCAATCCAAACACCCGAGAGAGTGCTGTGCTGAGAGCTCGAGGGAACAGAGAAGCAGCCAAATTTTCTGGTATGCCTTTCAGACAAAATCCTCCTTTTAAAAATAGACCTGAGGTAGCCACCGTTAAATACAGAGTACGCGGAGAGCTACTGGGCACAGTCTGATCAGGGCGCACAGGCGAGAACACTTGGGTGGGTCAGGGCCAGCTGTGGGCAAGGCTGCCAGGTTGGGTAGAGGCCAGCCGGAGGCAGCCCCATGTTCAGCACAGCAGGACTTGCCAAACGCACGGACAGGCACCGTGCAGCTACTGAAGCAGCCCAACCACACTACGTGGTGGGACACCTCTCCCAGAAGCTCCTCCAGGATATTTGGGAGTCTGGTCAGAGGGGCTGCATGACAAAGGGAAGAACACTTCCCCCTTTGCTTTCTGAGCTTTGGGATAAAGCAGAAAGGACATTGCTGGAAGTGAGAGGAAGAAGGGGGAGTAGCCACTCGGTATAATCCTGATGGACCCTTGTGCCCAGCAGCCTGGTCGGCAGTTGGCAGTGACCTGCTCTGAGCAGGAAGTGGGACCAGAGACCTCCCGTAGTCCCTTCTCATTCAAGTGACTTGGTGACTCTGAGATTTTTAAACCTACCACTCAGAGACACAACAGGTCTAGCACTCATCATGAGCCTTTATTCTTCCAGATGGACAACAAAATGGTCTTTTTGCCAAAACCCCTCTAATAGAGCCACTAAATCATCATTTGTCATAGTTTAAACTCTTCTACACTGAAATATTGCATACCATTACAGAGCAAACTATGTGGGGTGAGCAAAGTGAGGAAAGGGAAGTAATGCTGGAGCCACTTCTTATCTTCCAGCTGATGGTGGTGTTGATCATTTTTCTCTTCTCTTCTCTTCTCTTCTCTTCTCTTCTCTTCTCTTCTCTTCTCTTCTCTTCTCTTCTCTTCTCTTCTCTTCTCTTCTCTTCTCTTCTCTTCTCTTCTCTTCTCTTCTCTTCTCTTCTCTTCTCTTCTCTTCTCTTCTCTTCTCTTCTCTTCTCTTCTCTTCTCTTCTCCTCTTCTCTCTCTTCTCCTTTCTCTCCGCTCCTCTCCTCTCCTCTCCTCTCCTCTCCTCTCCTCTTCATAGATCCTGTGAAGCTTTAAACTCAGTTTAGATTATTAAAACATTCATTGTTTATGTCAGACTTAATATACTTTTGGGGGGTACATGACTACTACCAACATGCAGGACACAGGTTTTATTCACAATTACCTAGCCTATAAATGTTCCCCAGAAGTAACTTAGAAATGTTGAAGATGTTTCCCAGACATGTTTTTGTCTGGTCACAAACTGCATATGAGAGGTTTTCTTTATTATAAATGGTGTACTTTTTTCATCCCAACACTCTTGTGTTTATCTCCCCTGAGCAGGCAAAACATCTGGGCATTTGTATGAGCCTCTGCTGTAGTGGTCCTTTCAAGATCCCAAGCCTCTCTCCAAAGGAAGGTAAGCGTCAATACCTATAATTTCACCACTGGAGTAACCTTCATGCACACACACAATAAAGAAGTGACTGACACAAAGTTACTTAACAGGCTGTTGGCAGAATTGTGAATAGAATACTGCAGGTCTCCTGAGCCTGGTCCTGTATTATAATGGTTTCTGTTGGACAATGAGAGATTCCATAGATACTTTCAATAGATGGGTTTTTTTTTCAGCTCTCAACCTTTATCCAACCTCTAAATGACAGCAGCAAAGACACAATCTTCTGTCTTAATTGTGCACAATGGGGTAGACTTGTAAAAGAGCTCGATGGGTAAAATTTTCAAAAGCAGTTAAACCTATTTGAAAGGTAATGAAATTTAGGCTACTAGATTGCTCATGAGCTCACCAGCCAGCAGTAGAGCCAGGGTTTTGAACAGATGCAAGCTACACTGAGAACAGTACATGAGGACCTGTTTTTCAAAGGCGCTTGGAGAGCTGCAGCTGCCACAGTAACAGCTAGAGGCAGATTTTCAAAGAACCCAAACACCCAGTGTACCAAGGTCTTTTGAAAGACTCTGATCATTTATTCTACATACCTAAATGGACTTCTTTTGAAAATCTAGTGCAACAGGGGGTTTCTAGTCCCTGTGAGGTCGCACGGGAGATGCTCTGGTGATGGGTCTGCGGCCACCTGCAGACCCTGAGGCTGGCTGAGGCTGGCACAGCCATCACCTCGGAGGGCAGGAGCACACCGGCAGCACTGGGGTGGGCAGCCCATGCAGCACCCTCCACAGCAGGCACCTCCAGCACCCAGGGATGGGGAGGGTGATGGGGTTCGTCGCCCGGGGAGCATGGCTCTTCACCAAGAGTGTCACATTTGTTATCTTGCCATGATATGACTTTCCTTTGCAGTGGCCTATTGCATGTCTCCTTGGAGGAGATGGATAAATTCCCTTCCACAGTCAAGTGTCAGAAGAGAAGTCCTGCGGTCAGGGCTCTGCTGTTTCCTGATAACTGGATTACTGGGACTAGGAGCCAGTGACCAGGGATTGCTCCCTGCTGAGCTTGTGGGGTGCAACATTTGCTGATTTACCAAATATTCTCTATCTGCAATCTGTTCATCTGCCAGAGGGAATAGAGTGGTGGAAAGTATCCTCCTTATGATCTGTTCAAGGAAATTCTTCATTTTTATTACTGTCATCCCTACCTGCTCACATCACGCTCTGCATCTCATTTCACCACTCCATTTCAGTCACCAAAATTAACAATAACTGTTCGCAAAAGAGTGATTTTCTAACCCAGTCCATTCCAATGATCTGATTTACAGTACAGCTTTACAGACAGTTAATTACATTAATTTTATTTTTTTTAGCAGAGATCTGGGCTCATACCTGCATGACAGGAGGTCAGAGGGGCTGGGGAGATAACTGAATATAACTCGCAGTGTAAAAGTCCCTGAGTGGATACTGTGTACTGGCTTCTTGCACATGTGAAAATAGAAGTGAAGCATTGTCAAGTTTTCTCCTTCATCATGCAGTTTTGCTGATGCACAGCCTGTACTACAAATGAAGATGAAGGCCACACAATGTGAAGTGCTCCCACTGTGCCTTTGAAAATAGCTTATTCATCCTAAATTAGACAACTCCTTCAGTTTGTAATTGAACTTCATAAATCCCCTACTCACTCCCAGCATCTCATCATAACACACAGTCATGAAAAACTGACACAGCTGGAAGGGATGAACTGG